GGACTACTCCACTCATTGTCAATTGGTTTTGGGTTGGATACTCTAACAGGATCGATGTGACAAGCTTTGGAAGCTTAGGCAGAAGACGAGGAATTGTTGGTTCAAAAGGGGAGTGCATGTGGCATATTTATTAGGATTTATCAAATTTAGTTTTATTATTTGTATTTTTGGTTAAATTGCATTTAGTCACGGTTCAAAGTATCAACCAATTCGTATCCGCTTCGGCCACCTTCGATTCAATACCTACACGTTGCAGAATAAACACATGTCTTGTTTGAATCAGTACAACTTGGCCCAACTCGAAACCATCCCATTTGAGTAGGCCGATTCACATCCGTGTCAAACCGATTCGCACAGAACTGTTTAACTACACCAAGACAACAGAGAAAATGCAAAAAAAAAAAAAGAAAGCAAAATAGATTGAGATTGAGACCAAAATCTAAAAAAAAAGGACCCATCTTACAAGCAAAAACAAAAACAAGGGACTGATTTGAAAAAAAACAAGATTAGATCACACTGCAAAAAACTAGATGGTGTTCTACAAGTTTTCGACCCTTTTTGTCATTATATACGTAGAACAATAAATTGGAAAAATTTGTAATGCAACCTTGTAAAATCGTAGAAGAATTGCCTTGAATACTAAGAGCCACCTCTTCCTCTTCTTTTTCTTCTTATTCTTCTTTATGTAGCTATTGCATAGACCCAATATCATCGCTTGTGTAGAGAGATCCTTCAATCACATCGTTGTTTGAGTCTCAGCTTAGAGCTTCCTCGCTTTGTCTTCGTCTCTCAAATTCTCTCTCTCTAACCAACTTCGCATGAACGATATAGTGACTAAGTCTATGTCGTCTAATGTTCGAAAAATGTTGCGTTTATTTTCGTAATTTTTTTTTCTAATTTATAAAATGTGTAGGTGATTTTTTTTTTTTTTTTGGGTAAGTTTTGTTAAATTTTTTTGATAGTTAGAGTTTATTTTATTTTATTTTTTTGTGTTAAACACACTATGCCAATATATTGCGTAGTAATATATTTGTAATATAAATATGTTATAATTATTAACTTTTCTTTTCTATATGTGATTGGACATAATAATGACACATTCACCTTAGATGATGATGACAAATATTTTCCATATCACACTTGTGTTTTGTTTTCACTATGTTTATTGTGCTAGATGATATGTTTTAGACATATGATGTATGATTATTGTTTACATTTTTTTAAGAAATGTTCGTACTTTATTGGAATTCTTAGGGTCATATATCTAGTATCTTTTGCGTATTGGATGATATTGTGCTGCGTTGTCAAGGCTGATGTTTATCAGTGCCCTTCGAGCTAATAGCTGATATTGTGACCATCAATATGACACTTGGTCTATAAATAAGGATGCAATCTCATTATTTAACTAGTGTTGAATTTTGATTTGAATATTCTTTATGGAGAATTGTGTTTCTTAACATAATCTTTGCGAGGCTTTAGTATTCCCATTCTTCTCTTTCTTTTCCTTCCCCGTATTGAGGTCCAAACTTTTGCCGCTGATTACTAATGCCGTCGCCGTTCATTGAATTCACTTCATAGATAGTCATCTACTACCGTCACAATCAATGACAGATTTGGAAGCGAGGTTTCCCAAGCTGCGAACCAATTTTTTCTTCATAAAGAAGACTAGCACCACTCCAAGATTAATGGGTTGTATGTTTGACTCGATGCTGATCATCATTAGTAGAAAAAAACAATCCAGATGCAGATTTTACTGATGCCACGGTTGCCACCCACATTCAAATAAAAAAACACATTCCTTTTTCTTTTTAACCAAAACTTGACCAGCCCAAATTGAAACCAACCCCAAAAAAAAATTTATAACCAAAGCCCATAAAAATATAAATCCAAGCCTTTTTTTTCAACCCAGCCAACATTCTGAAACTTTCTTTAAGTCCATAGTGGTGTGACCATGTTCTAGAATTGACCAAGCCTAGCCTAGAAAAAAAATAACACTTTTGAAATTATAGAAACAACCCCAAAACTATCTGAAGTTACAGAAGCTGCCCCAAAAGTTTCTGTTGGAGTTATAATCTAGTTTATTAGGGCTTTGCTTTTTTATAATTTTTACTTTATTTTGATTTTTATTGTTTGGCTATATATACGGGAGTCCTACACTTAGTTTGTATCCCTTTTCACTCACAGCTATTTCAAGTTGGTGGCTGAGCTAAACTCAAACACTAATCCTAACCCTAGAGTCCACCATAATCAGCAGCCACAACTCCCTGGCAGCCAACCACTGATAGTAGCCCAACCCACAGTAATTCCTCACCACAACCAACCACTGACAAAGGTAGCGTTCCACCCAACCCACAGCACACAACTGCCCCAGCGAAACCCCAAACCAGCAGCCACAACTTCACTAACAAACTGCCTAGGCCACTCACTATCCCACCGACAAACAATGTCCATCCAGGACTTTCCCACTGACCAACTGCCCACGAAAACCCTAATAAACCCAAATAAATTAGAATATAACTTTAACATTCCCCCTCAAGTTAGGTGCAAAAAATGTCAACTAAGCCAAACTTGACAATGAAGTCCTGGAGAATGGATAGAGTGACAGGTTTAGTGAAAACATCTGCAACCTTGATCATTGGTCCTCACAAACGATGGAGTGATAATACCACAACTAACATTCTCCCAAAGAAAGTGAACATTAATTTCTATATGTTTCGTCCTTCCAAGTAGTACAGAGTTAGAAATTTTAACTCGCCAAGAATCGATTGTAGTCAAATAATCTCACACGTGCCAAATGCTAATGCCTGATACTCTGTCTCTGCTGACGAGATCGAGACAACTGCCAAACTTATAGAATTAGCCCTAAATGTTTCAAAAATTTAGGGCTTTGGGACTATATATAAAAGCTAAATGTTCCTCAATCCTTTTGGGGGATTTCTAGACTAAGGGTAGTTTAGTAAGTTGGGATTATATATAAAAGCTGGATGTAGTTGTGTGACCTACACACCATCTTTTATCTCCTCCTCCTCCTCATCTTCTTCTTCTCTTTTCTTCTTATAACCCCTTGTTACTTCTGTTAAACAACTATCTACTCTAAAAGTTTAAGTTGTTGGAAAGAGTATAACTAAAGCATTTATTTTTTCAAATTCCACTTCATATGCAGTCTAGATTTTGAGCCTGGCAAGTGAAAATATTTTAATATTTAGGGTGGGGAAGAGATTCAAACATAGGATCTCCTGTTCTGATATACTTGTTAAACAACCATCAACTCCAAATGCTTAAGCTGTTGGAGAGAGCGTAACTAAAGTATTTATTCTTTAACAACTTCATATTCTTATCTTTTTTCCCTTCCCCGTCTTGTATCAATTGGTATCAAAGCTTCACATTGATTAGTTGTAGCTTAGCCCACACTCTCGGAATCGATCATGTAGCTTCATCTATGCTTACTTCCATTCCTTGTAGGTTAGCCTACGCTCTTGGAATTGATCGCTAGCTTCACCTATATTTCTATGATTGATCATGTCGATCAATTGCTGTTCTACGAGCATCCTACTTTCCTCATCATTATTGTTCATCACCACCTTTAGTCACTTCATATTCCTTCAACTTTTTGGAGTCAATTTATCAATCTGGTGGTTTTGTGGACTTGTTTTCTTTTCCAACAACTTTTTTGTATTTTTTTTTCCAGAAAAAGGTAAGAGTGTTTCCAAAATTTGAACCAGTCGCAAGTGTAAAGGAAGGAGATTGGCTTGGAACTTCGTATTGCTCCCATCTGGTGCATCAATTTGAATTTTTGCTGGATCAATCTATTTTTACACTGATCAGAGATTGTGTGTGATAGATGTGAGGTTTGAATCTTTGCGGCTGATTGCTATTGCTGTCGTCGTTTATTGAATCCACTTCTCACATCATCTTCTACCGCTGTCACTGTTGCGATAGATTTGGAAGCTAGGGTTCACAAGTTGCATATCAGTATTCTCTTCGTAAAGAAGACCAGTTCCACTTCAAGATTTATGGGTTTGATGTTTGACCTGATCCTGATCCTCTTTAGTTAAAAAAAAATCCCAGATCCAGATTTTACTAAAGCCACCCAGATTCTAAAAAATGGAACCAGACCAAAACACGTGTCCTGTTTCTTCTCAGTTTTTCTATTTTTTTCAGTTTTTTTCCTCCTCTCTCTCTCCCTCTAATTTTTGTGTTTGTTTCTTTGTTGTCCTGAAGAAGGGGGGACGAAAGGGGCAGAATTTCTCCTCTTTTTCCGGTCAAACTGATACCTGTTGAAACAGTGGCATATTGGTCGAAACTCTGAATTTTTGGTTTTCGTATCCAGTTTCATGTCAATGTCTTGAGAAAGCGAAATGTTTCGTATGTTTTGGGCTTTTCGACAAGATATTTCGATCCTTGGTTGACAGGCATGTAATAAAAAAGTAACAACCTCATGTATCAATCTTTTCAATTAGGGGTGCAACTTGTTTTGGATTTTTTTTTGATTGAAGGCAAAATTTAAGTTGCTTTAGCTGGTTCTCTTAATGAGGAGCCAGAATTGAAGCAGTTCAAACTGAACCAAACCAACCTGGGCTAAGGTTAGTTCTTGTGGTTTGATTCAGGTTGGTTCCCAAGTTGCATCCGTATTGTTAGGCAGGGAGAAGTTGGGGTTTCATTTGGCTATATACTTGTGGGCATGCCTAGACTACCAGAAATTGGCAAAAAGTTTCACCGTAATAGTTTTGTAATAAGAATTTTGATGTAATTTGGTTATTGTTAATCACAATAAGATGAGGTTATGCCAACATTAGCCGTGCACAAGATATTTGGAAGAAATGGTGCTTAGATGCGTGCTTAATATTTTGATGTTATAGCTTTGCTTAAAAATTGAACGTGGAAAAAATTTATAGAAATATTTGGGTATTTTAGTTAGTTTTCTGTGACCTTTTCAGACACGGTGCCATATATTTGGTGGGAATTTGGAGTTTCTGTATGTGCATCTGCACGTCTTGTATATGCATGCAAAGCTTGCACATGTGGGGCATCTTTCAAGTTTCATTGTTGAAATCAAGAAATTTGGTAGTACTTTTGGTTTCTTCATGTATATTTTCATAATGATAACGACACAATTTCTTTAGCGCAATATTATGCCTCTTATCCCAATGCTCCTTTGGCAGGGTCAAATAATGACTTATCATTAAAAGAGATCAGGGAAGGAGAACGCTTTAATTTGATTGTCAAGGTATTTCAGCCGTATCCTTCAATGCATTTAAATTCCCCAAGAGAACCATTTCAAAGTTTCCTTGCTCTTTATTTATTATAATTTGTAATGATTTTATCCAGTACTCCATGTATTCCCTAGTAACATTCCAAAATACTGATAATTCCATTGTTTGGAGATGCTTTTGGATGCAAGGTTCTTCATATTTCTGAGGTTATAAAAGATGAATGGATGCTCTTTGTTTGGGATGGAACTGACGCTCCACCCCTTCCTATTGAAACTAAGTGAGTCCTTATGATAATTGTTGCTGTGGTTAGATTAAAGTTTCTGGATTGTATGTTCAACTTCTTCATATACTTGCTAATTGCTTATTTATGTTACATTTGCTATTTGGAGATGGAAAATGAAACCTTTTTGTGTGTGATTGTGGGTGAAGGGTCATTTGAAATTGGGGTATATTTGGCATTGGAAATGAGTTCTGTTGTTTTTGCTTGGTATAATGCAGTTGAAGGGCTATTAATGAAATATCTCTTACATTTCTTGGAATAAATTCATATCAGAAATAACCCCTAATTGTTCCAGTCTCCCTGTTCTACCCCCTTTGTTTTCTTATATGTTGCCAGTTCCTTTCCATTCTTCATAATCATTTTTTGGAAAACTAATTTATGGCAAACAAATTGTTATTGAGCATCATGGAAACAATGCTGCTTATATCTCCAACACCCCAGCAGTGTGCATACTGATGCCGCTACTTTTGCATTATGATTGAGCCAGGACTGTTCGGTAATCTACTCGTCCGCTGTTCAGTTATAAAATTTGATCTCTACTGGAGATTGTTCATGCAATCTTCCATAGGTCAAAAATAATGGGGCTGATTGGTAGACTTGTTGGCTCAAGTCTTTAAGGGATTTGGAAAACTCAATTATATTGTTAGAATGCCTTCTTTCTGGATTTGGTTATAGATCAGCCCTCAATCCAAAGTTATTGCTGGAAGTCTTTTTGAATTGATATCTTGAAGAAGATTTCTGGTTTAGGTTTTAGGTGTTACAACTGTTGCATTGGAGCATTGAGTTAGTGTGCATCAACTAAGAACCTCATAATACCCTGAGCAAAAAAAAAAAAAAAAACTGAATGGGGCATCAACTCTTTGGTAAGTTAGATGGGCTTCAGGGTTATTCTTTTTCCTGGATAAACCTTTTTATCTTCAGAGTTTCGTATAATTTCTAAGTGTGTAGAGTCCTCGTAGAATACTGGTAGAGTTTTACTTTCCCATAGTTGTACTTTCCTATTGTCTTTGTCATTTAGATTACTCTAGATAGGACAATGCTGTAATTCTCGATAATATCAACCTGATATAAACAAGTGATATAGTGTAGGCAATACATATCCTGCACACAAAATCATTTCCTAATCTCATTTTCTCTCTTCTCTTTTTTCTTGTTTCTCCTAAACCTATACCCTAGTATATAATAATTTGAGTTTCAAAAGGCAAAAAATCGACAATAAGCAGGAAAATACATCCTAGTTGAAAACCCTACGGTCTTCTGCTGATGTATCATATTGGAATATAACATCATACTAACGTCAACATATGTCTGAGTAAATCCCTTGGCAACTAGCTTAGCTTTGTACCTCTTAACAGTCCCATCAACTTGTTTGATGATAAACTCCCTTCTGCACCCTACTACCCTTGCTCCAGGAGGAATAGAAGGAATAGAAACTAACTCACATGTGTCATTTTTCTTCAAGGCTTTCATTTCCTCTATCATAGCTTTTCTCTACTTGGGATCAGTGAGAGTTTTATCCAACCTTGAGGAAGAGACAGAAGATAAAGAGGAAATGAAAGTGCAGGAGGATGGAGATCGGGAATACACAAAGTTAGAGATAAGGTATTGAGTACAAGCTCGAACACCCTTTTTGACTGCAATAGGAAGCTCTGGGTCGTCAGCAACTGAATTATCAATAACAGAAGTAACATCTGGAGGTTTATTACCTAATGAGGAACTGAAGTTGGGGAATTCGACTAATTTGACGACACATAGATAGTCTGTATTTTTTTACACTGAGAATAAGTTTTTAAATTATCCTTGTGAAGGTGAACACTATGTGGATCACTACTATCAACTTTTTCTTCCATAAGTTGTTGCTCTTCCTTGCTAATATTCCACTGAACAAGCAATTACACAAGAAGCTCCTGAAAAAATCTCTCTTTCTCTATAGTAGTATTCTTCCCTTTAATAGATGCTTGGGTAGTAGAGAATAATTCAAATTTAGGAAATGTATCATTTATGCTAACCTACGAAGCTTGGATACTTCGTTAAGGCAACGTACCCGTATCGGATACTGTATCGAAAACGATACTCGTCGGATACTCGATGATACGTATCGGATATGTATCATTCCTATCTGATAATTAATAAAATATGTGGGTCATTCGCGGATATTTCTAAACATGGAATAAGATTTACAATTTTCAATTTCAAGCTATACCTTCTTCTTTGGATTTCACATACAATATAAAATATCAACAAAATTCCATCTGATTTTGTAAACACGAGTGTTTTTTAAGTATTATCTATTATTACATGTTAAGAGAGAAAAAAAAATGACTCACTTATATTATAAATTTAAAAATAAATATTGTAAACAAAGCAACTAGTTAAATGTGGGTTATAATTCCTTTAATTGGTCATGCTCATTTTATGAACATATCATGATGAGACGATATGACATCTTTTTCATGGTAAAAATTCATAATTTTACTTACTAATGTTAAAGAATTATTGAAAAATTATAATTGCTAAGTTGTTAAATAATAGTAAAATATAAAATATATTTTATTATAGACGTATCCTGACCGTATTCGTATTTTTTTTTTTAAGTTTTGTTGTATCGTCGTATTCGTGTCGTATTGCACCTGTATCACGTATCCGTTTCCATGCTTCCTAGATGCTAACATATATTTTATGAGATTATAGATGATAACGTTTATATCCCTTTACTTTTTGAAAAAAAAAATGTTTATATTCCTTTTGGGTGGTAGAGTAACCAATAAAGACACATTGCAGAGCTCTGGGGTAATGTTTTCCTTGAGATGGTCTATAATTGTGTACAAAACAAACACACTAAAAATTTTTATGAGGAAGGGAAAAAATAGAAGAAATGGAAACAAACTCAGAAAGACACTTGAGTGTAGACGATTAATCAGATACGCATCAATAAGAGCTGCATTGTCCCAGAAAAATTGAGGAACATTNAAAAAAAAAAAAAACTGAATGGGGCATCAACTCTTTGGTAAGTTAGATGGGCTTCAGGGTTATTCTTTTTCCTGGATAAACCTTTTTATCTTCAGAGTTTCGTATAATTTCTAAGTGTGTAGAGTCCTCGTAGAATACTGGTAGAGTTTTACTTTCCCATAGTTGTACTTTCCTATTGTCTTTAATTGGTCATGCTCATTTTATGAACATATCATGATGAGACGATATGACATCTTTTTCATGGTAAAAATTCATAATTTTACTTACTAATGTTAAAGAATTATTGAAAAATTATAATTGCTAAGTTGTTAAATAATAGTAAAATATAAAATATATTTTATTATAGACGTATCCTGACCGTATTCGTATTTTTTTTTTTAAGTTTTGTTGTATCGTCGTATTCGTGTCGTATTGCACCTGTATCACGTATCCGTTTCCATGCTTCCTAGATGCTAACATATATTTTATGAGATTATAGATGATAACGTTTATATCCCTTTACTTTTTGAAAAAAAAAATGTTTATATTCCTTTTGGGTGGTAGAGTAACCAATAAAGACACATTGCAGAGCTCTGGGGTAATGTTTTCCTTGAGATGGTCTATAATTGTGTACAAAACAAACACACTAAAAATTTTTATGAGGAAGGGAAAAAATAGAAGAAATGGAAACAAACTCAGAAAGACACTTGAGTGTAGACGATTAATCAGATACGCATCAATAAGAGCTGCATTGTCCCAGAAAAATTGAGGAACATTCAGAGTAAACATCAATTAACGAGCAACCTCAAGAAGATGACAAATTTTTCGCTCAACACCACCTTTTTGGTTAGGGATACTCACAAATTTGATACAAGATGTCATTTTTATTGAGGGAAGACTAAAATTTTCCATCTATATACTCAATTCTATTATCACTTTGAAGATTTTTGACTTTGACATTAAACTGGATACTCACCATTTTACGAAAAGATCTAAAGTACGAAAAAAATTCACTTTTACTATGTAGGTAATCCCAAGTTAGACGAGAATAACAATCAATAAAAATAACAAATCTACAATAACTAGAAATAGACACAATACGAGAATGGCCCCAAACATCAAAATGACTAATAACAAAAGGTGTAGTACTTCTATTATTAGTACTCAGATAAGATGAACATTTATGCTTGACAAATTTATAAGCATCATAAACAAAACATTTTCTACTACACTGCTTCATGAGACTGAGAAAAAGATGCTCTAAAACACCAAAAGAAAGATGCCCCAAATATCAATGCCACTGATGTAATAGTTTGAAGGGCTAAAACATCATTTGCCTGGAGAGCTTCATATGTAGATTGAGAAGGAACTTCAGCATTCTGGAGATACAAATCACCATGTGCTTTACCACTGGCGAGGAAATCCAAGAGGTATAGACATGGTTCAAAGTATCAAGCGATATTGATATGAGTCGGTTAGAGTTGTATTTGACTTGACATATTCCGAGACAATATCGTTATACAATACGTATAAACCCGAGTCTCGCACATGTCGTCTGAGATGTATTTAAGTCAATTCTGAGTCGCTGAATTATCATCACTGAATCGGCCGATAAGGCTTTGTGACTTGTTATACCAAGTATTGTTGGGTATTCTTAATGAAAGTTATTATGAATTTTTCTTTCTATTCACTGCTTTTTGTGCCATAATATGTACTCAATGTCATTTGTTATTAAATGTTTTCGTTTTGATCTTAGAGGAGAATAATCCTTTACTCTCTTTGTTGACTTGTTACGATCTGATGACACTGTTTACCAATCTTCTTGTACTGACAGTCTTGAGTAGAATGGTGTGGCAAAACACAAATACTGACACATTATAGAGATAAGTCGCTCTCTTTAGTTGTTAGCAAATGTCCCAAACTTTGTTTGGGCTGAAGCAGTTCTCACTACATTTCATTTGATTAAATGTATTCACATTGTCTTTACTTCTGGAATCTCTCCATTAGAAAAATTGTATAGTAAGTCACTTAATTATTTCTCCTTACACGTGTTTGGATGTACTTGTTTTGTCTTGTTCCATTCTGTGCTCTTTGTTCTAACTTTTTTGGAGCATATTCGCTTCTTTATTTCATCTACGTCTTCACATTTATATAAATCTGATCTCATTTATATTGATCCATTTCTGACGGATGTTCCCTTTGACACTTATATTTGTGATATGACTGTCTTTGATGTTCCTTCTTCCTCTTCTTCTGATTTATGTATTGCATGTCCTTTTATTGGTCAACAGAAGTTGGTTGATGGATTCTTTCTCAGATGGATATGAAAAATATTTTTCTTAATGAAGATTTAACTGACGAGGTTTTCATGGCTCATAGTTCTGGTCAAGTGTTGTAAACTTTGCAAGGCATTATAAGGGTTTAAATAGGCCCCGAAGGCATAGTTTGTTAAGTTTTCAACTGTCTTCTATGTCTTGAGTATTTGTGCTAGTGATTATAACTTTTTTCTCTTATAGCATTCCTCTCCTTAGGTTTCATTGTTCCCTTATTATATGTTGATGATATGATTATTACTAGTTCTGACATTGTTGGCATTCTGTTATTGAAGAACCAGTTGCAAGATTATTTTAAAATGAAACATTTAGGCTAGCTTTGATATTTTTTAGGCATTGAGGTAGCCTTGTGTCCTAAGGCATATCTCATCACTCAATCCAATTATGCCCCAAATATTAGTCAACGAGCGTAGCTATCAAGATGGCTCGTTATTACCTGACCCTACATTATATCACACCATTGTTGGCAGTTTGGTGTATCATAGAGATACTCGCCCAGATATTTCTTATGTTCACGTTGTCAGATAGATTGTTGCTTCTCCAACCATGGTTTACTGGGCCACTGTTTTTTGAATTCTTTGCTATCTTTGGGGTGCCTTGCACCAAAGTTTATTATTTTCTTCTTCTTCTTCTTTTCCTTTGGAGCCCAAGGTTAGATGTTGAATGGGCTAGCAACTCTATGGATCACAAGTCCACCATTGAGTTTTGTCTTTTTCATGGTGATTCTCTTATTTCTAAAAAAGTGAAAAACAAGCTATAGTTGCTTGATCTTCTGTTGAGGCTGAGTACCATGCTGTATGGCTTCTACCTCAACTGGGATAGTCTAGTTGTGATCGTTATTTGTTGATCTTAGTGTCTCTTTGTCTACTCCTACTCCCAAAACATAAGTGAACTTCAAATCACCCGCAATTCGGTGTTTCATGAACGTAGAAAGTACATTTAGATTGATTGTCATTTTGTGCATCATCATCTCCAATCGAGGATTATTTCTCTCCCCATTCTTCTACTGTGCAGTTGGTGAATTTCTTTGTGAAGTCTCACAATTATGTGCTTCCGTTTCCTTCTTGGCAAACTTTTGATGTCATCTACTACCACATTATGAATTTGAGGGGAGTGTTGGAGTATTTTAGTACTAGAGGCAGTTTAGTCCCTTTTTTCTTTTTGTTGTGTGTTACTATAAAGAGTTTCCATTCAACATCTTTTATCTTTTGTGTTCTTAGCAGACTAATGTTGGAGCAATATATTCTCTCTCTTTACTCTTTTCCTTCTTTTCTTGTATTAAAGTTTTCAGTTCTTTGCCAACCATTCAAGCTTTTCTGTTAAATAAATAATTCCTCAGGTTTTTGGTTAGCTAAATGCATCATATGGGAACAGGTCTTGTTATCTGGAAGATTTGCATTCACATGATATTTGTCGTAATAGTTGCTTGCATCTGTGGCATTAAATGTTGTACTGCTTTTTACTAATAATATTGTTTCTATCTGGGAACCACAGGCTAGAAGATGAGACAGAAAACCCACTTCCTTTACAGTTGGAACCCTGTCCCGTGTCGAGGGATATTCTGTGTACATTTCCAGCTGTTGGAACTGTCTTAAGGGTTATTGTTGATCAAGGTGATGAAAAGCTTGGCCTGCACTTAGTAAAAGCTGGTAGATGGGTGAAACTCAGTAACATAAAATGTGAAGTTCGTGATGGATTGTGGCGGGGTGTGCTGATGCCCTTCACTAAGCTCCGATATCTGCCTGATGACGATGACCTCATAATACACTGTCAAAGGTATCATTTGTTGCAGTTGAAACATCATAAGTAAATGGGTTGTGTTACCTTGTGCTACTTCTTCTGATGAAAACTCTGGGTTTTGGATGCTTGAGACAGAATTTATGATGAGCGAGTAGCATCAAAATGGAGAAGGATGCCATTGTTGAGCTTTCCTTGGCCTTCTTATATTACAGGTTTGACATTTTCACTTTGTTGATAGGAAAATTTGTGGCTGTGAAAATGACAGTAATTTACTTTTAATTGCCTTCTCAGAGACCGGGTATCCTGATGTACCTTTTGTTACTTTAATGAATGTTCTCAACTATACAGAGGTATTACATTTGTTCTCTACTTCCATATGAATCCTTTGCTTTGTCGTTTCCTTTTTTATTATCCAACTATAGTAAGAGAGGAAAGATAGTTGTGGATTTTCACTTTAGCCTTTTAGCGGTGCTTGAATGTTACTCCAACAATTATGATAATTATAATTGTGCTTTTGTGCACCATGAGGTATATCATGCATAGTGCACCAAATGATTGTTAGTTTGTAGTTCTTTTTTCAGTCAAGGTCTCTCATATTTTGGACTTCATGAAAATATGCCTTTTGTCTATTTAAAGAAACTTTTCCTTGCTTCAATTTTTTGTTAGCCTTTTTTTTATATTGAAAACATGTAGCTTTAATTGTTCAGGAAATAAATTACAAGAAAGAAATGGAGGTTGTGTCATTAGTTGCTGGTGATGGTAATGGTGGTTGTGCACTCGTGAGTGGTGGAAGTGACTTGCTGGCACTGATAAAAATCATGACAATGTTTAGTATTTATTTTAACCATGTTTTTTTTAGCTGGCTTATGAGAAATTACTTGAAAATCATACTACCATAAAGAACTTGGTATGTATTGAATGAATATTCGCTGCTATATGGTTTGCTAACTCATTCATCTGGGTTTGGCTATCCTGTTATTTATGAATCCTTTCCTTTGTCTTTTCTTCCTTTTTTTTTTGACCAATTATAGCGATAGAGGAAAGATAGATGTTGATGTTTATTTTAGTCTTTTAAAGTTGCTTATATGTTGCTCCATTCCTGATGATCCAACCACCATTGAGCTGTTGTTCGTGGTCGAAATGAGCCGCTGATGTTGTTGCTTGAATAAATTGATCATTGTCCAAGAGTTGTTATGGGTGATCGAATGAACAGTGGAGTGAAGGGTCCGATTCAATCAGATTCTCCTTTCGATTCAAACCAGTTCAACAACATTCAAACCAGTTCACACTTAAACAGGTCCGATTTTACCCAACCCAAACCGGTTCGACATCTTCCAGACCGGTTCAGAGTTTGTTTTATTCGGTTCTACTATTCTGCTATTTTGTTTCTGTTACATGGTTCTGGTATTATGGACAAAAATAAGTCCTCCTTCCAGTGGTGTTGGATCTGTTATGAGTCATGACTTTACTTGTTTATCAATTATCTCTGTTAATTTGAATGGCAATAACTACGTGCCCTGCTCTCGTTCCGTTGAAGTGTTTTTAACTGCAAAAAATAAAGTTGAATATCTTGGATAAGCTTGGTGAATCTGATTCAAAGCTTAAACAGTTGACCGTAGATAATGCATAAGTGATAACTTTATTATGGAATAACCTTGGATTTGTAAACCCCCACACTTTTATTTTAATAAGTAGCAAGTAAATATATGAAATATTTTGTAATCGAACTTCTACCAACTATGCTTGATGTCCAAATGTATGTTGTATAAGTTTGGGTTGGTTTTGGAAGGGTTTGGAATGGATTAGAAATGAAAAAAAAGGGAAACAGGCAAAATTGAACAGACCGTACCGGTACTGCGTACCGATACACCCGGAAGTTACCGTACCGATACGCTATTGTCCAGAGAGTTTACCGTACCGGTATGCTCTGTAAGTTTCAGAAATTTTAAGTTGCGATTTGGGGTCCACTTTTTACCCAATAAATACATAATGACGCCTCTATTAGTCTCATTTCAACATTTTTATCCCTAGAAAGTCCTAGAGAGGAAGAAAGGAGGAGAAAAACAAGAGATTAAGAGTGGACTCAAGTTGGAGAAAGATCAAATCTCAAGTTCTTCACACAAAACCAAGGAAGAAGAAGGTAGGGATTTTCTTCCCTTCTTGTTCATTGAGGATAGGGTTTATATATATATGTATGTTTTTCTTCTAAACCTTAGATATATGCTATGAAATACTTGTTTTTTTGAAGTTCTTACAAATATCACCATGTTTTGAAGGTATTTATGGTTTGATAGCCATGAAAACCCTAATTTTGAGAAAAATAGATTTTCTTCTTAATGTTTAATTGTTCTTGATTTCAAAATTTTAGTGCTTTATATTGAACCACAAAATGGTATTTATGATGATCTCTAGCGTATTTTCTTTAATTGTTCTATTGGGATATTATTTGTGAAATTTGAGAATTTCTGAATGTATTTGTGATTGAAAAAATTGATTGGATATTATATCTCTTGTGGATGTTTGGATGACCATGGATGGCCGTTGACCGGATATCGTAGAGTGGATTAGATGCGTTTCTTACTCCGCGTGGGTTTGAAGGTTCCCTATTACTCGTAGTGGGGTTGGTGCCTTGCGAGGACCAAACCACTATTCGCTCACGTATTATTGAAGCTGATGGTTAGTATACTATTCCTGGATTGGATTCGTCACTGCCATGAGTTGGTATATGCCCTTCCTAAAGGTTAGATATCCTTGCGAGAATTTGGGTGTGTGTGTGGGGGCCAAGATATTCTCGATGTGTTTATTCATACGAATCATGCATCATACCTAAGATACGAATACAAGTTGTGGGTTTATGGTTTATTGTAGCAGAAAAAGTTTTCTACAACAGTTTGTGGAAGTATGAGATTCTACAAGAACTTGGGGGAAATGGTTTATGATTGAAAATGATTTGTTAATTGTAATTTGGCGTTACTACTTCACTTAATTTATTGCTATTGTGTAAACTTGAGATCTATCGAAATATTCCTTTTTTCTTTCACAAATTAATATATGATATTTACAAAATGAGACCGACTTATTTTATATATTTTTTAAACCTTGTTCGAGTTTGGAAGAATGTTGCAACAGAGCTTAGTGCTCACCCCCTACAATATTATTCATTCTCAGATGTCGGTTTAGAGGAAGAGTTCGGAGTTGTCGAGCAGGTGGCTTGGGATGCCCAATTGGAGGAAAGCGTGGATCCCGAGGGGAATGTCTAGAGTTGATCTCTTCATGTTTTAGATTAGGGGATATATTTTGGTACATTAATAGATGCATTTTGTTTATTCCGCTGCGAGAAAATAGTTGATTCTTTTGGGATGTAATGACCATGTTTGACCTATTCTTTTGGAGGTGATGGTCATGGTTGGCCTATTCTTTTGGGATGATATTGTAAATGTTATATTTGATGAATAAAATGTTCTTTAATGATGAATTTATTTAGTTGTTCTTATGATGTGAATGATTTTTAAATTGTAATGCCGTCCAAGGTGGGTTTTGGGGCGTTACAGGATTAGTACATCTTATGTCTCTTGAAATTGCCAAAGACATGTCTTGCAATTAGTTGTTTGTTTTTCAGAGAAGATAATATTACTAGAATCTATCATTTCTTTTGACAATCAAAAAAAGATGCATGAGGAATTAATGGTTGCTCGCTTCTTCTCAGGTTTAAAATCAGAATTGGAACCTATCCGTTCTCAGATTTTGGCTAGTAAAGAAATTCCTTCAATGCTAGAAGTTTTTTCTCGTATTCAATAGCTTCATTCAGTGATAGTGGGGTTTCTGTACCTGACCCCTCGGTTTTAGCTGTAATGCCTAATCAATGGAATCATAATTTCTCTTGTGGAGCAGAGGAAATTGTAGTGGGCGGAGAGGAGGTGGTCACCGACCAATGGACAATCATGGTGATAGACAAAGTTGTTAGTATCGTACGATACGCGATACGTATCGTACGATACGTTACGATACAGCCCTAAAANATGGTGATAGAGGTTGTGGATTTATGAAGTTTTGCATTTGAAGTATCGGCCAAGACCGATACGACTTAGATGGGTCATGTCCGCCTCAGCCAACTCCGATACAATATTGCGACACGATACAAAAAAATCCTGAGTCTTTTTTGAATCGGTTTCAACTCGGTAAAACTCAACTGAATCATCGATTTGTATCCAATTCAAACTGATTCGAATTGAGTTGTTCACCCTACACCAATGGACCAGAACAACCANGTCATGTCCGCCTCAGCCAACTCCGATACAATATTGCGACACGATACAAAAAAATCTTGAGTCTTTTTTGAATCGGTTTCAATTCGGTAAAACTCAACTGAATCATCGATTTGTATCCAATTCAAACTGATTCGAATTGAGTTGTTCACCCTACACCAATGGATCAGAACAACAAAAAAAATAGAAAAAGTAATGATAAAAGGTGAAAGTAGTGAACATGCCAAAAAAAATAGAAAATCAGATGACCCAAAAGAAATAAACAAATTTGAAATTTGCAAAATTGAAGCAAGACATATGACAACTGGAAGTATAAACTATAGCATCGTTTTGAGTCCGTAGAAATTAGAAAGCCCCTTTCTTCTTCTTCTTGGCGGTAGAAAGTATAAACTCTAGCATCGTCTCGTCAAAGTTTGAATCCCTAGGTCATTTACAGCGAGTAGCAAAGCTACAGTGCCATCTCTCCATTTTGATCTCGCATTCTAAGTGACCAACAAGACCCACATTCTCTCTCTCTCTCTCTTTCTCTCTTTCTCGCGTGTTTGTTGACTGAAGCATAATTCTCGAACAGAGACTTTCTCTTTAATTTTTCTTTTTTATAGTTTTTCCTTTTTTTTTCCCCAAGGATCCAACTCTTTTTCTCTGTTCCTCTCTCACACAAGTCTCAAATTGAGACCCCAAAAGTGTCGGCTTTAAGTTTTTTTTTGGGTCCAATTCTTTTAATTTTTAATTTTTTGTTATTTATCACATAATTTAATTAGAACTTAAGAATTAACATTTAACTTAACTTTCAAAAATTATAAATTAAATATCTAAATTGAACACTGATAATGATAATTATTTTCGATTATACCCTTATTTTTCATTTTAATTATTTTTAATATGTTTTTGAATGTATTGTGTATATATGATACATGAAAGATGATGTTTATATTTTTTTAGAAGTTTGTATGTTTTTTTCAATTTTTTTTGGAGTTTCTATCTAGCGTTTTGAGCATATCAGCTGATACCATAGTGCGTCGCCAGGACCGATATGTATTGGTGTCTTCCGAATTGATGGTCAATACCGCGACTTTGAACAATGCACAATAAACTATTGTTGGGATCTACATAGCAAACCCAACTCTTATGCTCATGTTGTGTCTTCCTCAAATGATATGGGTTTCAGATAGCCTATTCTCGGTGAGCCTCCATCTACATCAGAGATTATAGCTATGTCCAAGGAGGAGTATAATCGGATTGTTTCTAAGTCTAGTGTTCCTACTTCTACTTCCACAACTACTTTGGCCCAACTAGGTACAACCTGTTTGATGTCTCATTCATCTACTTCATCTTCGTGGGTCATCGACTCTGGGGCCTTTGACCAAATGACAGGTAATGTGAGCACATTCTTAAGATTTACTCATATTTCTGCTAACCAAAATTTAACATTAGCTAATGGATCTTCATCCTTAGTATCTGGTGTTAGCATTGTGATCCCTACATCCTCAGTCTTGCATGGTCCAAAATTTTTATTTAATTTGATGTGTGTGAGTCAACTCACTAAATCTTTAAATTATTCCGTAACGTTTTATTCTTCTTTTTGTATGTTTCAGGATCTTCAAACGAGGAAGATAATTGGTGGGGGTCATGAAAATAGTGGTCTTTACTACCTTGATGTAGTTCCTACTTGCAGCTTTGTTTTACACCCTTCATATTCTCCACATCAGTGGCATTGTCGACTTGGGCATCCATCTTTACAAAATCTTCAACAGTTAGTTTGTCAGTTGCGTCAGTTGTCGTCTTTAGATTGCAAGTCATGTCAGTTATCGTGTCTCTAGTTTATTTGAAGTTGTTCATTTGGATATTTGGGGTCTTAGTTGTGTTTCTTATTATTTAGGATTTAATTATTTTGTTACCTTTGACGATTTTTTCAGGATGACTTGGCTACTCTTAATGAAAGATCATTTTGAATTGTTTTCTATTTTCAAAAATTTTCTTATGGAAGTCAAGACTTAATTTGGTGTGTCTGTACATACTTTATAATCTGATAATGCAAAGGAATATCTTTCTTACCCGTTTTGTGATTTTTTCATAGCTCATGGTTTGCTCCATCGTACTTCATAACTGGAGTTGCTTATTATTTAATGGCATCTCTAGATCAGTTAACATACACTTCACAGGTACCAGCTACATTCAGGTGTGTAGTTCGGGTTGTAGCAGCATTTCCATGGCAGGCTAAGGACTTTCGTTCTCCTCTTGGGACTTATAGAATTAGGCTGACCCTGGAGGATCCAACTGGCAGAATCCATGCTTTTGTGTATGCCGAAGATGGGGTAAAGACTTTTTTTCCCATCAAGTATTGTTGTATTATGATCTCTTCATCATGAAATATAATTCTGCTTAAGTTCATGGCTTCATGCATATGTTTGGATAGTGTTGACCACCCATCTACATGGTTTCTATGTTTTTCTTGCAGCTAACTATTAAGAAACCATGGGATACTTCTTTCAAAACCCAACTTGTTAAGAGTGTTAACATTGATCAAAAGAGAAAAGAAAAGAGTAAAGAAGCGAAAGATATTATTTTAACTATACAAGTTTGTAATACAACTCAACCTAGAATACACAATGTGGGCACTTATATAGTAGGGCAACACAGAATAAAGTTAATGTCTAAACTACCCTTAATATTAATACTCTAACAACACCCTCTTGAAGTTATGATATGATGAAAAACATCAAGAGTTTGTCAAGAAAAAATCGAAAGCGTGCTATGGTATGAGATTTCATAAAAAAATCTGCTATCTACATGGTGGAAGAAAGAAAGGGGAGAGTGATAGTGTCGAGCTGAAGATGGTAGCTCACAAAGTGGCAATCAATCTGCTTTGTGCGCTTGTGGAAGATCGAGTTGTGAGCAAT